TAGACTTTTATACATACAGATAGATTCCCTGGGTATTATCTAAGCGTTAAAATCAAATACCATCATTATTCGTTGTTGAAAATATCCCTGTTTTGGCCATGAAGAGGTCCTTCAGATTGGCTCCTGTTTTAGATACGCCTCCATCTTGGGGGTAACATTTCCTTACCTTCTGACATCACGAGATATTCTAGGTTCATCTTGTATTTTTCTTGCCTGTCCTGGAATCCACTTCTCCAAGGAGCTCTGATTCCTTTTGTTGAAGAATGATGGTTAGAAACCAAGATTTGGTGCTAGGTGTGCTCATTGTCCTGGAGTGTCACTGCTTCTAGGCCCTGTCAATGAAAGCTAGGAAACATATGAATGTATATATGTATGCATAATCTATACATATACCCACATGTATATTTATGTCTGAAAGCATATTTAAAAACCTGAGTTTAAACTAGTGCCTCTTATTCTAATCTCATACTACAGGGTTTAGCTTAGCCTTCCTCCCTAGGTCTTCCTCCAACAGTAAGAAATCTGTCTCTCATTATCTATATGTACATTTTTGTTCAATTCTGAAATACAAATGAAAGTGGTATGCTAACTCATAACTCTGTGGGAAACACTTTTACTAAGTAGATTACAGCATTTAGGCCTTAGATTAGCTTTCTTTCCCATCCCCTTAAGTGTGCTCATGTTATTTTGTAACATATGCTTTTGTTAGTTAGTATTTACATTCTATTTGAGGAGCCCCTATTTCCTGGTTGGTTTTAATCATTTGTTTATATGGGGGTATGTAAACGATATGCAAAACATTACCACAATTCCAAGAATCAGAGCTATAGCAAAAGATACAATCAGAGAAGTGTTATTGTACTTCATCCCTGCTAACCCATTCCCATTGTCCTCTTCTCTTTCCCTTAGACTCAGTCTTATTTTTTGTTTATCCTTCCTAATTTCTTTTGTATAAATGAATACATGTCTATATATTTTCTTGCATTTCTTCTTACATGAGGGGTAGCAAGCTATATATATTCTTTTGAACTTTGCCTTTTCACTTTACAGTATGTCTTGGAAAACACTCCATTATCAGTTAAGTTCTTCATTCTTTTCTTACAGCTACTTAGTATTCCACTGTGTGCCTATGTCGTATATTTTTCAACCACTCTCTTATGAATGGGCATTTGGGTTGATTTCTATCCTTTGCAATTTAAAAAAATGTTATAATTAATAAACTTTTGCATATATGTTTTAATATTGTTGGAGGCATATCTTCAGGGTAGATTCTTAAAATTGCTGCTGCGTTGGTTGAAAGGTTTCTGAGATTTTACTAGACACTGCCAAATTTCTCTCCAGAAGAATTGAAGAATAATCAAATGAAATAAAGCAAGGTAGTCATAATGTGGTGGTGAGCAACGGTCTGCCTGCAGGTATCATGTGAGTGAATGTAAACCAGAAAGTCTTCTTAACATACACATTGTAGGGTATGACCAAAAGAGATCAAAGTGGACTCCCAAATGTTGTCACTTGAACAAGTGGAAACCTAGATTTGTCATTAGCTTAGATAGAGGAGATCTTGGTTGAGGCAAAATTTGCGTGTGGATGATAATCAGAGGCTGGGTTTGGCCTCTGTTAATTTTGAGATGCCAGTCAAACTTCTAAGCGGCGATGTCAAGAAGGCAATTGGATATACAGTGCTGAAGGTCAAAGTAGAGTTCCTGAAGATAGTGTGCATAAACACTGATGCGTAAGAACTAGACAAGGTCAACACATGAGTATAGATGTAAAGATAAAAGACCTACAAGCACTGAGCTGTATAAGTAACTCCAAAAATAAGAATCAATAATAAGAAATCATGAAGTGATAAAGACAGTAAAGTAGCAGGAAAACAAGATTCAAGTGCTAAGCTGTATAAGTAACTCCAACAATAAGAATCAACAATAAAAAATCATGGAGAAGATGAAGAATCAGCCAATAACGTAGTAGGAAAACAAGATTTGGAAGCTGAGTAAAAAACACATTTCAATGACTGATAAAAATTGTCAAATGCTGACAGGTCAAGTAAGAGACTAAGAACTGACATTAGATTTAGCATATATGATGGTTGTTGGAGACCTTTAAAAAGTTTTAGAGGAGTGGAAAAAGCCTAATTTGAGTGAATATCAGACTGAGAGAGTAAGGGTTTGAGAGTATCAATATTAACAAACTGGGGATCTTGCTGTAAAGGATTCAAGCTACATTTCAGCATAATGATATGTAGTAAGAAGAAATGTGGATGCCTGATGATGCATGATCAGCAAAACCTTAATATAAAGAAGTAGAAAAATCAAAAGGAGAAAGTAGGCTAAAACAAGCAGGTAAGAAAATGAAATGAAATGGAAGATGAATGCAATATGTCAGGGTGATTGTAGTTGAATTTATTTTATTTAACAAACACTGTTATTGTTTACTATGTGTCAGACACTTCAAGGATTTATAAATACAATTCATTTAATATTCATTTCTTCCAATCTGCAAAATTTATGGTTGTCCTTTTTCCAACTTTTAAATGTACTTAGATATGAGCCCACAATTTTACCCTCTGTTTATTCCATCTCCCTAAATGATGTTATTCAGACCTATGACTTCAAATATCTCTTTAATAATAGCCTTTAGTTATGGATCTCTAAAGTAAAGAAGTTAGAAGAAGAACACCAAACAAAGTCTAAAGGCAGAAGGAAGGAAATAATAAAGATGAGAGCAAAAATAAATGATATAGAAATATGTCAACGAAGCCAGAAGCTGGTTTTTTGAAAAAATTAATAAAATTGACAAACCTCTAGCCAGACTTATCAAAGAGAAAAGAGAAGGGAATCAAATAAATAAAATCACGAAAGAAAGATGAGAAATAACAATACAGAAATACAATTATAAGAGAATATTATGATAAACTATATGCCAACAAACTGGACAACTTGGAAGAAATGGGAGATCCCTAGAAACATAAACTACCAAAGCTGAAACAAGAAGAAATCAAAAACTTAAAAAGATTGATAACCAGAAAAGAAATTGAATCAGTAATTTAAAAAAATCTCCCAACAAACAATGTCCAGGGCCAGATAGCTTCACAGGTGAATTCTACTAAACACCTAAAGAAGAGCTAATAATACCTATTCTTTTTAAACTATTCCAAAAATTAGAAAAGGAAAGCTTCCAAATTTATTCTATGAGGCATTACTCTGAAACCAAAACCAGAGAAAGACTCCACTAAAAAAGAGAATTACAGGCCAATATCCCTGATGAATATGGATGCCAAAATTCTCAGTACTAGCAAACCAAATCCAACAGTACATTAAAAAAATCAACCAAGTGGGATTTATTCCTTGTTTGCAAGGTGGTTCAATATTTACAAATCAATCATGATATACCACATTAATAGAAGAAAGGATAAGAACCATATGATCTTTTCAATAGATGTAGAAAAGGCATTTCACAAAAAGTACAACATACATTCATGATAAAAGCCCTCAATAAATTAGGTTTTGAAGGAACACAGTAAAGGCCATATATGAATAACCCACAGCTAATACTATCCTCAATGGGGAACAACTGAGAACTTTTCTTCTATGGTCAGGCACAAGACAGGGATGTCCTCTCTCACCAGTTATTTAACATAGTACTGGAAGTCCTAGCCACAACAATCCGACAACAACAATAAAAGGCATCCAAACTGGCAAGGAAGAGGTAAAATTTTCAGTATTTGTAGATGACATGGTAAACTATATCTAAAACCCAAAAGACTCCACCCAAAAACTGCCAGAGCTGATACATGAATTCAGTAAAGTCACAGGATACAAAATCGATGTACAGAAATAAGCATTTCTATGTGCCAATAATGAAGCAACAGAAAGAGAAATTAAGGAATTGATCCCATTTACAACTGCACCAAAACCCATTAAGATACCTAGGAATAAATTTAACAAAAGAGTCCATCACATTATTTCCAAGCCTCAACATTAATTTTAATTTTTTTTTTTTTCTGAGAGAGAGACAGTGTGAGCAGGGGAGGATCAGAGAGAGAGGGAGACACAGAATCTGAAACAGGTTCCAGGCTCTGAGCTAGCTGTCAGCACAGAGCCCGATGCGGGGCTCGAACCCACGAACCCTGAGATCATGACCTGAGCTGAAGCCAGATGCTTACCCGACTGAGCCATCTAGGCACCCCAACATTAATATTTTAGCATGAGGAGAACATGAAGTTTCAAATTTTAATATTTTAACTTGCTGTATTTTTAAATTTTCTACAATGCACATGTACTGCTTCTTTAATAAAATGTTTTAAGAATTTTCAAAGGAGGTAATGATTCATGAAACGATATTCCCACTGATAGATAAATTAAGACAGCTGCTGACCGACCGCTAGATTACGCAACATGGAAGTCACTGGTGTCCCTGACAGAATCTGCTTTGGTGGAGCAGGGTAAGAAAAACCTGACTGGTATAGTTTGGCAGTTCCCAAAAATGTTAAACAGAGGTAGGGTATGACCCACCAATTACACTCCTAAGTATACAATCAGAGAACTGGAAACATACGTTCACATAAAAACTTAAACCCTAGCATTCATAGCAACATAACATCCTAGTAGCCAAAAATGTAAACAACCCAAATATCCATACACAGATGAATGGAAAACAAAGTGTGGTGTATTCATACAATGGATTATTATTCAGCAATTTAAATAAGATTTAAATATTAATACATTCTACAGCACAGATGAACCTTGAAAACTTTAAGCTAAGTGAAAGAAACCAATGAAATAAAAAAACACTGAATGACTCATACCACACTTATGAATTTCCACAAAAGGCAAATGCATAAAGTGTGTTAGTGGTTGCCTAGGATTAGGAGTAGGAGGGTCTGGGCAGTGACTGCTATTAGGTAAGAGGTTTTTTGAAGTGAGTGAAGAAAATGTCCTAAAATTAGGTCATGTTGATGGTTGCACAATTATGTGACTACAATAAAAACCACCGAACTGTACACTTTTTAAAGAGTGAATTTATGGTAAGTGGAGTATCTCAATAAAACTGTTACAAAAAATCTAAAAGGCAGAATTTAGTTGATCAGTTTGCATTTGTTTTACTCACTTCTCAGTATGCACAGGCTGTATGTGACCTTACTTCCAGCGATTTATTCATCTTTCTTTTGGTACACTTTTCCTCCTTCCCATTAATCCCTATCCACACACAAATCCCAAATTCTCTGAATCAAACAAAACCAGACAGAAAAATGTTTGCCTCCATTAAGAAAACATTTTACAATTTTAAAAAGTATTAAATGTGGCCACTGTTCAGATTTAATTTTCATACCATGTTACATATGTACATACTAAAAAAAAAAAAAAAAGAAGAAAAACCATTTGCCTAGGAATATAAATGTATCACTTTAAGCAAACATTGTATAGCCTGAATTCTAAAACCCATTTTGGACTATACAAAACTACTTTGTAAAAGCCACAAAACAAGTATCCCTTAACTCTCGAGAAATGTTCAGATATTTAAATACTGCTATTACATATTTTCTTCCATGAAACTGAAAAAAAATGACAACAATTGTATCATTTTATGGATAGAGACTAAGTGAGTACATACATAAACCCATTGGCAAAGCTAAGTTTAGAGCCGATTTCCTCTCCTGGATTGTATAATTTCAATAGTATACAATAATTATCTACTGTTGGAATAACACCTGAGTGGTTCAACTATAAGATGCATACATACAATAACAAGAACTCTGCACAAATATTCAAACTTGGGGATTTCTAATTAAAATAATAGAAAAATAGAAAATTTTTCCTTCCAAAAAAAGGTATCTAGACAAAGATTCAGATACCCCATGTAGATTATTCACAAGTCATGTTAATCAACCTTTTTTGTAGTCCTTAAATAAAACTTAATAATCAACTGATGAAAAAACAAGTTTCATATGCAAAGAACACCTTAATACATCTCTAATTAACTTAATGCAAAAGTATATGGAAAAAAATGCAGCTATTTCATTGCAGTCTTTAAAAAGAGCAACATTTTATTATTTCTGGTGCATCTTCTTTCGCATTTCTTCAAGAGCTGCTTCTTTCTCTCTCAGCACTTGCTTAAGTCTTCTTATTTTTTCATCTCGAATGGTTTCCTCTAACTCTGGTGGTGCCATGAGAAAAATATCTTCAGTAAAATTTTTATTAAAAGAATGGCTTTGTTCAAAAGCTGCATTTGAACTCAATGTGCCTTTTTCCTGGTTCTCAGGGGTACAGTGTTCAACCTCAGTTGTCTTTTCTTCTCTAGTTTTGTTGAGGTTTGTAAGAATGTTATGGTGTGATACATCTGAAGTTGGTAAAATACTGTTGACAAGTTGGGAATTGGTAACATTAGTTCCTCCGTTTAGAGCTGTGTTATAAGCACTCTCAGTTTTTTTCTTCTTTGTGCGATCCATCTTTTTAATGATTTTTGCTTTTCGTTTCTTATCAAAACCCTGTTGTTAAGTTGAGTAAGATTTCAAAAGAAAAACAAATTATTGCCACATAGACAGTAAGCTCTCAAATTTTTAACAAAGTATTTGCAGGTGAGAAATACTTATCAATTAAATTCAACTCAACAAAATAGACTGAACACTATAGCAAAAAGTTGTTTACCACTGTACGATATTAAAATGAACAGCAATGTCCTAATGATATTCACTGAGACTAAATTGCTTAATTCACATTTTCCTGCTTCAATATTAGACCAGCCACTTATAAAGAGCTTGAGAAACGGAACTGACTTAATTTTTTGTCTCCTTTTGCACAGTAGGCACATATATTATATGGAAGATTTTCATTGGGAATGGTTGACCAGTCTCTGATCTAAAGTTCAGAATATCACATAGTATAATAATGCTATATTTCTAAGTAAAATAGGCAAAGTCATAGGGACTATTTTTTCATCATTATTGACCAAGTTTGTTTTTTTTTAAATGTCTGTTTTAAGGGTGATACTGCAATGAACATTTGCATGCTTGTATCTTCCCTATACTTGGATTATTTATTTTAAATATGTTCTTCAAAGTAGGATAGCAAGTTTAAAAAGTTATGGCCATTTTCTTACAATTTTTTGATGGAAAACAATAAACAGGTGAATAAAAAGACTTAAAACACCTCCTATTAACTGGAGATACACTTTTACCTTTGTATATATGGTCCTCTTTAACACTGATTTGGTATAATATATACATATATGCCAATTTGAAGACAACTACCATTCATATTAATGCACAAGACTAAAAAACAAATCAAGAAAATACACTCATGAACATTTGTAGTAACTACAAAGGACACTAAAAATGTATTACCTGCTTTTTCTTTTCCTCCTTCTCTATAAACTCTGTCTGTTTGTAAGTATTGCTCTTCACCAAACTGCTGAAGGAATCAAAACCTTTTCCAGAGCCCAAATGATCAGGAATCCGAGTAAGGCACACTCTCAAATCTTTAGTGAGACCAAATAACTTTTTAAATTCAGCATCATTCTTCACATGTGATGCCTTATTGCTTCCTCTTTGGGAATGGTTCTTGTCATTCCTTTCTTGAGGAACTTTTTCTAATGTTGATGCCATCTCATTCTGGATCTGCAATTAAGAAAACAAAACACACAAACAATACTGCCAATTACTTAAGCTATTTCATCAGACTGGCAACTAGGTGATCGTCTCCTCTTACTTAAAAAAAAAAAAAAAAAAAGTCATGCTCTAAAGTCCTAAATGGTTGGTTTGCATTACCCTTGCCCTACCACCCACACTCAAAAAAATGAATTTAACTGAGTACAGACTTAAACTGTTCCTCCACAATCTCTCATTTACTTTGCTTTCTTGTACTAAAAAGGTTAACAAATGAAATAAGAATACAGACTAATGACAAGTTAAAAAATAATCTATATAACTTTAGTTGGAAGTTGTAGTCTTCTGGAAAAGTCTTATGCCTTTAATCAATCTTAAACTTCAGAATTTACCTCCTTTATATCTCTGGAAGGGGAGAAACACTGACATTATTAAGACCTCTAAGTAAGGAAAGAGTGGGCATAAATATTTAGTGAGCACAGACACACACATCTTAAGTAGAAAAGAAAGGTAACTATGTGGATATGTTGAATAATTAAAGAGTCAGAAAGAAGGGCTTTAAAAAAAAAAAAGGAAACTTGTCTACTTAAAAAACAAAACAAAACCAAAAATGTTGATAAATCCTTTTTCACAAATGACTGAAAGGTACTAATTAGCACCACCCTACCCGCTTCTACCCTCTACCTAAAAAACTGCCAGATATTTCCCTACCATCACAAAATAAACAAACAAAAAACCCAGCTCTCCTATATGCATAATATCGATCTTTTCACATACTAACAGTAATAAATATATGTACAGACACAAAAATTTCCCAAGTTCTGAATTCACATTATCTTTCACCAATAAACCTTCTTGCTCTGTGAGTTTTTTGTTTGTTTGATTTGTTTTAAAGATTTGGCATGCCAAATGATTTAAGAGAGAGATACTGCTTGGACTCTCTCAATTATCCTCCTCAAACATTTCCTTCAGATGAAAGCTTTGACTTAATTAAGCATACATGTGTGTATGGTATGTGTGTGATGGAGTGGAGGATGGGAGAAGAAGGGGGAAAGAGGCATCATAGGTAACTAACTTTGAGAATTAAGAAAGAAAAATTTTCTATATAGACAGAGAAAAAGAACACCCTGACATGGGAAAATTACCTTTGGTTCTTGGTCTCTGAAAACACACTGTTGTGAAGTAATAGTTGTTGCATCAACAGAGGAACTTATTTTCTCTATGCTCTGGATGGTATTTCCTTTTCTGGGGGCATTCTGTACTGTACTAAATCCATCTGGAAAGTCTGGCTTTGTGAATAAAATCTTACTCTGTTTTAAGTAGTTAATGGGTTGATTCATATTATGTGGGTCTGGGGTAGAAAGAGATGGTTTCTCCACTTTTTTATTCTTCTCTGCCCTTAGATTGATCATGGAAGCAGGCTGAGTATTTGAGAGTGATTTTGTTTCCATCTGGTAAGATTTACTTTTAGCCAAAACAATATTTACAACCTCTCTGGATATTTCTGTGACTGGGCTTGAACTCACTATCTGTGATGTATCTTTTCTCGGTGGAATATCAGGAGAAACAGAATTCTGTTGGTCAATTTGTGACGGCAAAACATTTGTCCCCTTTTTAGCCAACAGATAGACTTTCCCATTAAACATAACCAAAGCATTATCTTTAATAGGCATACTTTTGGATTGTGTCCCACTAGGACTGACAGTGCTCAATGCTGGCATATTTATGGTATTATCGCCCAAACTCTTCCTATCTACAAAAGTTTTTAAAATCTTTGAAGCCACATTATTTGAAGACTTAACAGGAACAAGAGATGGACTGCAAGGCTGTAGATTTTCTTGAAAAATCCATTTCACAGGAGCAGCTTGAGAATGCTGACCACCTTTTAATTGTGTCTCTTTAGCAACATTCACTGGTATTTGTGTGGTATTTAGTATCACTGGCTTTGCTATTTCTGTAACAGGTTTTGGATAAATGTTTTGAAAGTTCTTGGTAACTACATTTTTCACTGTATTTACAGGAGATACGTAAATAACGGTTGGTATTTGGGAGGCCTCAACTGTTCCTGAGGTACTTGTGGTTGCAGTTGCAAGTATCTTTTGCTGAACTGAAGGAGGCAATGAAGACGCTGGTACAGATTTCACTTCAGCATGGGCTGGAATCTGTAAATGATGCCCAGAAGGCAAAACTGGAGACTTCACAGTCATTGGAAGGCTCTGAGTATTTACTAAAATATAAGGTGAATCATTTTGTGTTGAGGAGGGAGAAACAGCAAATGTTTGCATGGTGAGTCCATCAATTTTCACACCATGACTCTGAACTTTAGAAACTGATGAGGTAAAATTTTCAGTTCCCACAGAAGTAACTCTAACTTTTTCTGCTGTATCTACTGTTCTTGTAAGAAAATAGTTTGAAGAACTGGCTGGCTGAAAAATGGGCAATTGAACTGATGCACTTGTGGAGGAGCTGGAAATCTGAGTCTGAAAAGTAACTTGAACTGGGCTTCCTGTATTCCCTTTCAAAGCATCAGACATGACTGAAGATTGAACTAGCGGTATAAGATTTCCAGAAGAATTAGGAATTGGAAGTAATTGCAGAAGATTTTTTCCATCCGAGCCAATCGTCTGAACTACTTGGTACATGCAGCCTGAAACACTTAAAAGAACATTGAGTAAATAAATAAATACAACATACTAGACGGTATATACATTTTATTTAAAAACAAATATTTGCAAGTATTATTTTAAAAAGATAAAAATTTATAAAATATGATAAAAGTATATCATTTGTCACTTTTGAGTTTTCAAAGTGAACTAGTGCAAAACAGATTTTGAAGTAGAAGTGACAATCAAAGATAATGATCAGCTTTGATTTAGAATTTCTCATATGATTAAGCAATGGGTAAATTAAACTCTTGTAAGGTTTTACCCCGTATAAAATTATGCCTACTAGACTATGTTCCTCTTAAGCTATGAGCATCCTCCCTTCTCTTTTTACTTGAATTCTTCCCTCTTGTTCTCCTCCTTTACCCTCATTCACCAGGATTCTCATTTCACCTCCATTTATGTTTATTCTATTTCCCTCACTCTTTTCTGCCCTCTATTCAACCTGTTCTGTGCTTTCTACTGACAATGACTCACAAGTCCTACTGTCAGCCATTCTTCTTTTGTTTAAGGCATTTCTTATGATGATACCTTAGTGTGCCACATTTTTGAAGACTAAATGGAGTTACTCATGTAGGAACCATTTTCTTCTTTGACTTATTGTTTCAGCACATTTGAAGTTTGGTGATAAACAGCCCTTGGTATGGAAATTACTCACATTAGTTCCAACTCTCTGTCTGTCAATCCATACACATAATAGCAACACCATTTCAGCTAAATAATTTTCAGTGAATGTGGAACACACTGGGATTTTTTTTTTTTTTTTTACCTAGCCAATTTTGACCCTGATACTTATGAGCCATATCTTAGTACAGATTATCTGATTTTTAAAAAATCCAAAATATACCAATCTGTCATATAATCAATTTAGAAGATTTCTTAAATGCAGAGATCTCAAGTTATTTATGACTAAAACCACCTTTTGGTTCCTGGAAAACACTAAGCCCTTATTGGACTCAGAGTCATCACACATGCTATCTCTCTACATAGGTTGTCTTCTCCCACCCATATAACTCAAGTCTCAGCATAAATGATACTTCTCAAGAGAGATATTCTCTGACCACCTTAACTGTTTGTGCCCTTCTTTCAAAATTAGCTTATAATTAGCTACTTAGTTATAATTTCCTTCATGCTATATTATAATTTGTCAATATATATTAATCTTTTTATTCATTTGCCTATCGACTGTCTCTCATGCTAAATTCTAGCAATATAAATGCAGAGTTCATGTCCAACTGACAGTGTGGCCATATATGACAGAGATCAAATGAAAACAAAACTCTAAGACAAATAATAATAATAATTAGAACTCTCAATGATATAAAGGTGTGTTTTACTGACAGTAGGCATTTTTAAAACCTTAAATATTACTAAAATCAAAGCCAAAAATTCTATGTATTCTAGGAAGCCCTGGAACAACCATTTTACCTTTCCGCAACCCAAAATAATATAATTGTGTCTTTTTAAATATTTAAAACTTTTTTTAGCCACTTGACAGTGCTTCGAAATGTTAAATTTACTTTTAGTACATTATCTCTAAAGAGAAGCATGAACATGAAGTAAGAATTCTTGCTTTCAGGACTTAAAGACAAAAGCCTACCTTCATCAAGTCCCCCCCCCCAATAAACTAGACTAGAACTTATTTAACTTTAATTGAAATATCAGTATCCATAAATTGTTTTATTATAAGTACACAGTCACACTCATCTTTAATGTACTACTGTAAAGACTGCTCTCACGCATGCTACAAAAGCAGAGTTGAGCAGTTACACTAGAGATGATCACATGGAACACAAAATCTGAAATATTTACTATTTGGACCTTCACAGAAAATGTTTGCTTGCCTCCAAGCTAGTCAACCCACAGTCCGGAAAAGAGCTTAAACTGCTGGTTGCATGGGCATGTAAATAGGCAATTATCATTAAGATAAATGATACACTACATTTCGATGAAAACAAAAATGCTTCCTCCTTTTCTTAAAATATTCTCTTCCCAAGGTTTCCTATATATGAAATTCTCCTACTTCTGTAATGATTCCTCACTCTTGTCAACTTATACATACTACTTAAATCAACCTTCAAATACTAGAATTCACCAAAGCTGAGACTGAATTCTCTCCCTACTCTGTAGGCTTTCCCTAATTACTTTTTTTATGTGCATGACTTCAATTATATTATCATTTACACAGCAACAATTAAAATATTTATATCGGGGCATCTGGGGGGCTTAGTCGGTTGAGCGTCCGACTTTCGCTTAGGTCATGATCTCACAGTTCGTGGATTCGAGCCCCGCATCCGGCTCTGTGCTGACTACCAGCTCGGAGCCTGGAGCCTATTTGAGTCTGTGTCTCCCTCTCTCTCTGACCCTCCCCTGCTCATGCTGTCTCTCTCTCCTAGAAATAAATAAAAATATTATAAAATAAATAAATAAAATAAAATATTTATATCTTAGCTCTTTTGAGACTTAGGCTTACATATCCAATTTCCCTTATGACATTTCCATTAATAATTTCAAATGCATCTAAAGCTCAACATGGTTTTGTCCAGTGTTTTTTTTTTCTATAATAAACAGCATACCATCTATCTCAGATACCTAAATCAGAAAAAGCAATCTCCTGTTTTCTAACTGTCTGTATTCAATCCACCACAAAATCCTGTCGATATTATCCCCTAAATTTCCCTTGATCTTTTCAATTCTTTCCAAATCATCTGTCTTCATTCTAATTCAAGCAAACATCATCTCTGGCTTGGACTATTATAGCAGCTTCATAACTGGTCTTTTTATTTTATGTTTATTTTGGGGGGTGTAGCACAAGTGGGGGAGGGGAAGGGGGAGGGTGGACAGTGGGCTCTGTGCTGACAGTAGAGACATGAACTTTGAGATCATGACCTGAGCTGAAGTGGAAAGCTTAACTAATTGAGCCACCCAGCCGCCCCATAACTGGGTGTCTTTATTTCAGCCACATCCTCTCCCTTTGAAAGCTTTCAGCACACTAAAGCTGGCCCTTCCTTGCTTAAAATATTTCAGCAGTTTCCCATTTTCTTTGAGTAGTAGAAAGAAAACCAAGAGATTCTGATGCAATGGAAGCCAAAGAAGACAGTTTCAAAAATCTTGGGCAATTCTATTAAAAAAAATTTTTTTTAACGTTTTATTTTATTTTTTGAGAAACAGAAAGAAACAGGGCACAAGCAGGGGAGGGACAGAGAGAAAGGAAGACACAGAATCCAAAACAGGCTCCAGGCTCTGACTGTCAGCACAGACCCAAGGTGGGGCTCAAACCCACAAATGTGAGAATTTGAGATCAGGACCTGAGCGGAAGTCAGAGGCTCAACCGACTGAGCCACCCAGTCGGTGGCTTTTTTAAAGTTTGTTTATTTGTTTGTTTGTTTTGGGGGGGAGAGAGAGAGAGAGAGAGAGAGGGCAAGTGAGCATGAGCAGGGTAAGGGCAAAGATAGAGAATCCCAAGCAGGTTCCACACTCAGCGTGAAGCCTAATACCAGCTCAGTCTCATAACCACAAGGCCATAATCTGAGCCAAAATCAAGAGTTCGATGCTTAACCAATAGCCACCCAGACACCCCTGAGAAATCTTATTTAAAACTTTCTGAAAGGTCAAATAGGATGTAAATTAAAAATGTACTTGCATGGGGCGCCTGGGTGGCTTAGTCGGTTAAGCGTCCGACTTCTCTTAGGTCATGATCTCGTGGTTCATGGGTTCGAGCCCCGCGTCAGGCTCTGTGCTGACTGCCAGCTCAGAGCATGGAGCCTGTTTCGGTCTGTGACTCCCTCTCTCTCTGACCCTCCCCTGCTCACGCTGTCTCTCTCTCTCTCCTAGAAATAAATTAAAAAAAAAATAAACTCAAGAGGAGAATATTTACCCTATAATTTAAAAAAAAAAATGTACTTGCATGAGTGGTATGAGGGTCAATAAGGGCTTTAAAAGAGTAGTTTGGTGGGGGGGGGAATGTTCTGGAGGATATTAAGATAGAAAATACAGCCAGCTTTTAAGAACTTTACTGCAAAAGGGAAGATAAAGACTGGTAAGTAGATGGAGGCAAATGGGGGCAAATAAGAGATTTTTTTTCTCTTTTTAAGGTTAGATGAACCAGAGCATATGTTAATGTGCATATGAGTTGTCAAGTGGAAGAGGATAGAAGGGCTAAATGAATGTAAGTTTTGATAAGGAGATAGGAAATGGGAACTAGCAGCCAGGTAGAGGAACTGAACTTTAAAGGGGGTAAAGAAATACCTTCTTCCACTGCCACTGAAAGAGAGGTTAGGCACATCTGCAGTTAAGTTTATAGCTTTGGTGTCAAGAGGTTGAGGTAATTCTAATATAATGGCTTTTATTTTTCTGTGAAAAAAGCATTACAGCATATGCTAAGTATAGGAGCAAAAATAGAAATCTGAGGCAAAACAAAAAGATTTGAAACAGTCTTTAAAAGAGAACAAGATGACCTCAGACAAAATCGGTCATCAGGTAGTGCTGATGGCCCAAGGCTATACGTAGTGAGACCAATCTGTGCTCTTGTGAGATTTTCTTGTTTCACTGGGTATAAGCAAAGAGAAAGCAAATTCAGGGCCGGGGTGGCTTTAGAAGAATGGCTGGGGGAAAAAAACTCAAAGAGAAACAAAAGAGTTTATGATATTGGTAAAAATTATTAAAATGATTTACAGAATCTAAACAGGATGAGAAGAAAATAAGAACACAAAAGGTGAAAGTGTAAGGAGAAATTAAAGGGATTATTGGACTGGAGGGCCAGATAAAGTTAGAAAACAATCAGAATGGGAGTATTTAAATAAGCAAACTAGAAATATAGCAACTGATGTTTAAAAAAAGAGGATGCCTGAATCAAGAATTGCACACATGCAATTTTATCTGACAACCAGAACTACAGAAATGGATGAATGGCGATCAATGGGGGAGGGGGGGGAACTCTGTACTGAAAGACCAGATGACAAAGAGATTATTCATATAGATGTTAAAGTCATG